CCTTTAATGGATATTGTTCAGTTATTAATTGACTGAATTCAAACAACATAGCATTTCATTTTCAATCAATGAATAATTTTATTGTAATAATGAGATTTAAATATTACAATCTCTTTATTCATTCCTTTTAAGTAATTTAACTTGTACATGTACATGATCGACGATTATTTGTCTATCAGCATATTCCATCAAATCAAGTTGACACTTTTCTTTAAGTAATCATTATATATCATGTTTTAATGAACTAAGCAATTCTTTTTTCACTGCACGTACAGTGACTATAGTTTTTATTTTTTGTTATTGAAATAAGGGGAAAATCGTGAATGAAATAACTTTTTTTGATTTAGGGCTAATCACCTATACTCAATTATTTTCAATAGAACATCTAATATTTATATGTGCTCCATTATGAAGAAAAAATTCTAATTTGGGCACTGTCGCTAGTTTGGGGTTCCACTCCTTTAACTTGTCTTGCGAAGATGTAAAAAAGAAAAAAAAAAACTTATCAATAACATTTTTTATATTTTATTTTATCATTTAATTTAAACCTATGATTAAAATTTTGTTTCATTAATATTGTCAAAATTCGTTCAGAAGTCGAATGGATTTGAAATTTGGACTTTTCAGTTTTCATTTTATGGTCTTGGGGCCAGGATAATATGGAAAATAAACAAAGTTACTACTTCAAATACATGTATTTTGATTTACATACACTGTAACTAACGAACGATCCTACCGATTAATGATACGAAAAAAGGGCTTGACAACATACAATAAATACGAGATTTATTAAACCAAGCAGAATGAGTGGTCATTTTTAAATTAACGGATGATGTACATTTTGAAGGATTTGATTTGTATTGCTTGCCACGCTTCAGTCTTAAAAAGAAAATGTTTTGTTGACACTAGAAATTCAGGCACCTGCTGGCAACGCCTTTTGAGACAACAGCCAAATCTAACCAATGAAGAATGCTACAGAGCCCATTGTGCATCTACGAAGGCGATGTGCGTCGACAAGGTTTCCGTAGCAACAACGAGTAAAATGCATCAATAAAGCCATTTTATGGATCGAGAAGGGTACTTACTTTTTGAAGTAGCCAATCTATTTAGACATATTAAAATTATTATGTATTTGTGATAAGTTCAAGTTGATGTTGACCCTCTGGAATGTGCTTAAATTCAATAAAGATATGTATATTGTGGAACCATTGTCCCATCTGAACGTAAACGTATGTTTACATGACTCATTCAAGTCTTGAATTCCCTTTTCACATTAAGGTTATGGCATGTATGCTTTAAAAACATATATTTTTTTTTACAAAAATTAATATACTGTACATTTATATTGTTTTTTAAGCAGTATAAGTACAAGTACAATCACACTATGAATACAAAAACAGATGTCAAAGGCATCTAACACCAGCAATTTAGATTTTCTATCTATTTGAGCCACCAAGTTTCAGAATAATTAATAAGTGATTAATGAGTGAATTCATATCTTCAAACATTAAGTTCTCTTTAAATTAATTACCAGCTTGAATGCTGAGTAGCGAGCAAACGCTATCTTAAATTGTTAAACTAGACATTTTGCAAGTCTCATCTTAATGAAAAAAAAAATGTGGACAAGGAAATAATATGCTTTAAAGTTATTAGGAATCCGGTGTCTCAACACATTTATTGTGACGTGATAACTATCACAATTTTCAAAGTAACGCTTTAAAATTTGGTGCAGAAGTACTCTACTACAAGTGCAAGACACGTGGGGTCATATCAATTTGTCTATCTTATTTTTGTTGTGAAGCAATATAACAGTTTCAACGTTACTCTTTTAAATCTTGTACAGAAGACTTTACTATAAGAGCAAGAAACTACAAAAGATTTTGGGATCATATTGCTTTGTCTGTCTGTCTGTGTGTCTGAATCTTATCAATGATGCTTTTTTGTGTCGGGATAACTCAAACAGTTTTAAATGCAACGGCTTAAAATCTGGCAGAGAAGTACTTTACTAAGAGAAATTGGAGTCGTATCATTTTGTCTTCCTGTCTGTACGAGGGTTGTTCGAAAAGTTCTATACTGACGGCTATATTTGATGGATTGAAGTGAAAATTTGTCCAATATATATATATATATATATATATATATATATATATATATATATATATATATATATATATATATATATATATTAATAATTCTAATATATTACATATTTGAGTGATTCCTTGTCACTTTCCCTTTGTGCTATATTTTGTTCTAAACATTACTATGTACATGCGTCATTTTCCCTGACAGCCCTTATTTGGGCCCTCTCGGACCGTGTCAGTCCTCTTCTAATAAAATTTCATTATGACCAAATTGTTTGACTTAGAATGTTGATGCTCTATTTTTTGTTAATATATTTAAGTTAAATTCTTTTCAATTGTTTTGTAATAAATATCCCATGTTATTAATTTGATATGGAGAAATCGTCATGACGTCACATGGTTTTGCATTGAAAAGATTTCTTTGACTCGAGTAGGTCCAACCCTTTTATTTACTGGTGATATACCTGAATATCCTGTTTTGTGAGTTCATTGATTCGATCATTTATGGGTATTTCAATCAAACATTCAATTAAAAACACAAAGAAATCGACAAGATTACGAAAGGAAATCTGCAAGAAAAGAAATAATTAATGTAACAAACATGAAGGTTGACTTCTTTCTTAGTGTCAGTGATCTCTAAATGAATCTTTATTTTTTCAACCATGAGAAGTTTTCTCGTCAGGGGACCTAAATATCCTACAATATATCAACAAATAAAATGCTGATTGATAATAACTTTTGCTCTACTATCCTACCATACCTTTTATATTTAACTTAGATAAGCTACTGAGAAAATTATTCATTATAGGCATTTTTTTAATCTAATAAGAAAAAGATCTCTACAAAATAAAGATCCCTTTATTATAATAATTGTAGGTTGTAAAACATTACTCTGTGAATTATATTAGTTAGAAAATAATATCACTAATAATTGATTTTAAAAAATAACATTTAGTTTACATAATTTGAAAATTTATAATTAACCTTACTTCAAATTTTCGTGATCACGGGGATATTGAAAATATTTTTGAAATCATTTCAAAGCTGTTTTTAAAAATAATTTAATTTCGTCTTTTTTATGACAAAACTTAACTTGTGTTCTTCATTTTTCCATAGCAGAATGAATTTGTCATTTTATATATACAGTAGATATTACAGAAGATATATTCAAAATACGTATTGAAAACATTTGTAGTTTTTCATGTAGAAGCAAAGAAAATAAACTCTTAATCTGGATTTAATTGCTAAATGATTTATTAATATTTTATTTATCATGATAATGTAGGATGCAAGAAAATAATGAATATGTAGTTTTTCTGTAAGTTTTAGATTTTGTGGATTTTTTTCGATACACCTGAAGTATTTCTATTCAAAGTAGATTTTTTCCTTTGAAAATTCCTCGAAATGCTCTATTTATAAGTACTTTTCCGATTCGTTCAGATTAAAGAATTATCCGCAAAAAGCATCCCGTGTTATTCATACATTTAGATTATCTTCACAGAAAATAGTCGTTACGTCGAGTAAAATGCACACTATACATTCTCCTTAACAAAATTGAAGATGAAAATAACTTCTGGAGTTTCCACAATGCAATAGAATTTATATTAGAACGGTGTACTAGATAAGGTTGTCTATTTTTAAGCTTGTTTGCCTTCTCAATCTTGGGAAAAACATAAAGAAAACTGCACAATGTAGGTATTCTTCTTCAAATTGCTACTACTTTTGCAACTCGACTTTATAATTTTTATTTTATCTTTCATTACATTGTGATTATTATTAAAAATATATATGTTTAGTGATGTGCTGAGTCTGTATATTTTGTAGGAACCACAAATATGTCTATAAACCAAATAGTTTGAGCTCAACCAATCATATATCAGTATATATACTTAAACTTTTCTATTCGAATAAAAAATTTCTATCCATAGAATTCGAATTAATTATAAATTTGTGGTCAGTTCCTTGAGACTGAGAATATATTTTTTAATCCTTGAGCTCAATGTGAAGAACTGTATAAAATTATTTTAGACACTATACATGTATGTTCAAAAATATTTCTACAAATTTATCGTTTAAAGTGTCATTTTTTATGTTTTCAAATCAGGAGCCTAGGTAAACTTGGGGTCACTTTGATCTAGTATTGTATGTATCAATTTGACAAATGTGTCAAATTTTAATTTTCAAAGTATTGGATCGATGAATTTATTTTAGAATGTCCTCCTTAGCAGAGAAAATTATTCGTGCTTGAGTGGTAGGATAGAAGAGAGAGGGAAAGAAAGCGAGATGAATATGTTCATGCATATACATGTATAAACAAAAACCCATTCCAAAATTAAATAACTTGAATTATTTTGAATAAATTTGCTTTAGTAAATAAATACAGCTACCTTTTCTGTTTTTTCTATTTAAAATATAGTTCTTAAATGTGCTGAACTAAAATGAGAAAATTGGAAGATAACCAAAATAACTGCTCTGGTTTCATAAGAACACTCAAAATAAGTATATTAATTAATTTAAAAAAGTAAAAATCCCAAACTACTGTTATTAATCGTAATCGGGTATCTGTCTCGGTGCATAATAAACTGCATTTTCTTTAACTAAATACAAACGAATACCAGTATTTAAATGGGCTGAAGATTTACATATGCGTTCAAATTTCGTGTTAATTTAAACTTAAAATTCGTAGTGTTATGAACTTTAAAACAATAGCGTGAAATGTCTCTGTCAGTGATGCATGAAGTTCTAAATCTACAACAAGTCGTAAATGATTCGTATATTTTATTTATTTACAATGCACCATCATTTGATTAAAATAAAATGACATTTAAGCATGCAAATATTCTGTCTATTAATTATTATTATTTTTTAATCAGATTGTTTAATGTCTTACTTAAATTGAAAAATAACAACAAATTTTCACGTGCTTACTTGCGTACAACGCATAATGGATTTCAAGTCGGAAGGAGCATAGCAAGAATTTCCTGTTGGAGAGTACATTCTTTCTGCCAAAGAGTTCTTTTGCGAGGTGGCCAGATTCAAAGCCGACACAGGAGACGGTTTTATGGGCATTGGAGTCAATGGTGATAGAGGAAAGTCAGTAGGTCTTCGAGATTTTAATATTTTCTCATAATCTGAGTTAAACTTGTATGCCGATGCGAGTGTCGAAAAGATATTTCCTGCAGAAATTGGTGTCACATAAGACAAGTTACTTGCAAATTGTGATGCGAAAGCTGGTAATACTGTTGAAGTCACACGGGTCGGGAGAGAAGTTGCGTTTGATTTTTGATCTGGGGCGATTATGTTTTCAATCGTAAAGGGCTGTTTTCTGTTGGAAGAGTTTCCATGTCCAGTTAAGGGACCGCTTGTGGATGGCACACTGCGATTGCCTACGGCGAAAAAGTTCATCCTAGTTGTATCATGGTACATTCGAGACTCCAGTGCCAAGGAATGCTTAAGACTGTCATGCATAGGTAAATGAGGCCGCAATGTCATTTTGAATCGTTTTCTTCTCCTCAAAAAACTTCCATTCTCAAACATGTCACCTGACATTGGATGTAAAGCCCAGTAACTTCCTTTTCCTGGCCTGTCTGGACGACGGGGAATTTTGATAAAACAGTCGTTAAAGGACAAATTGTGCCTTAACGAATTTTGCCATCTTTGAGTATTTTGTCGGTAGAAAGGAAACCTGTCCATTATGTACTTATAAATGTCACTAAGAGGTAACATCTTTTCCTGAGAGTTCTGAATCGCCATGGCAGTCAATGCAATATAAGAATAAGGGGGCTTCTGATCATTGTACGTATTCCTTCCAGGTCGAGGCATTTCGAAAAAGATAGTTAAACACCAACTTTTCAGCTACTTGAATTGTGCATATCCTCTGTGAGTTAATTGCTAATAATACTCAAAGTCCCCTTTGGACAATACTTGCTTACATTTTAACCGCCATCAGTTATTCCACATCAAGGACAATAAAACGTCAATCCCTCTATATATGGGCGGTTATATCTTCATTTTGTGACTATCATCCCCATCCAGCAGCCAATGATATTTCAACACGGCCGTGGCCAATATCAAGGGTCGTGACACTCTATTTTAAAAAAAGAGTTAACATTGCTTGAAAGTTAAAAACTGGAATAATAAATGAAATTAAAATAAGCAAGACTTAATCCTTTCAAAGTTGGAACTATAGCGTTTTTATTGGCCAAGTTGCCATTCATCTTAATGAAAGGAACGTTTTATCGAGTTTGTGAAGCAATGTTGTCAGTTTCTTCACATAAAACGAGAATAAGACACGAATGATGGTAATGTATCAATGAAGATGCTTAAAGAGTTTTGTTCCGAACTAATATTGACATAGCATTAGACCCCGAGGGGCGCAGGTTTTCAACCGACTGAGGTTTTAATGTTTGATATTCCTTTCTGTCTGTTTTACATACCCTACGTATTGATACATTGGGATATAAATGTGCAGTACATGTAATGTATTTTTAAAGACGTGAATTTGTGAAAGAATCATTTTTATTATTTATTTTTCTCTAGCTTGTATATTTCCGAGAAAATATAGAAAGGACAAGATAGGCTAAGACTCCTTTTTAGCCCCAGGTTTGGGATATCTGCAATAATGTTTGCAATAGTTCATCATTAAAACCCTGTGGTTTTCTCTGATACAAAATAAAATTGATTGATTTTAAGTGGGATAACAAAGTTTGCAGGAGTGTTACAAAATATGCTGTTTTTCTAATGTTCTCATTTAGTGCAAATTATCAACAATTTTAAAGCACATTTTGTTCCAGAAAACACAGGGCACAAGCTTTCCTATATCTACCAAATTTATATATTTCATGCACTTGTAGCTTTGAATCAAATTTAGTGCTGATTTTTGAAACGAGCATCATTTAAGGTTCTTACATGTAATTGCAAACTATCGCACTTTTAAGTATATTTTAAACTATATTTTTATACCTTTTCATTTTTCTTATTAAATTACAACATTATACAGTATTTATGAATGAAATCAAATTGTTGCATTGTGTTTTTTTTTTGTTTTGTTTTGTTTTGTTTTTTTTTTTTTGGTTTTAAAAATCAGTGCATTTACTCTAGGTCATTATTTTCACATCATGATTCTCCAGTTTAAGGAGATCAGAGAATTCAAACGTACCGGTATTTTTTAAAATAAGTATGGTACTACATGTATTTTTCTGGACTGGAAATGCTTAGATATAAGTATTACTTCCAATCAACTGCTTGTATTCTTTTATTATAGGTTAACGGTAATCTGTCATCTGTTCTTATTGAATACATGTATTTATTTACGTAGATTTCATGCTTTTGATGTACATCAATTGCATACACAAATAAATTATTTGGACAAAAATATGCAGGAAAAAATCCAAGACATTAGAATTTTAGTTGTATTTTTATGTTTTAACCCTCTTTACTGTTAAGAAATTTAGAAATTTTTAAGTAAGATGGAGTCAATTAAGGCAAACTGAAGGTAAAATTTAATGTTTGATTAACAGATATTTATGATGTTCTTACAAGCATCAAATATTCAATAGATGAATAAAATGTTTTGTTTTATTTAGAGAATCTGCAGCTGATTGGACATTGTTACAGTATCCTCCAGGATAATGACACTGTCGTTACGGAATTTACATCTGTGAAGGTCCTGATACAGTTCAGACTTTGTCAGATTGTTTAGCTCATTGATACAAAGTTTCAGATGAATCTGACCGGGCTTGTCGAGCTTTATTTGTTAATGCCAGCATCCACTGCATGTAAAACATTTGTAATGTAAATGTATAGTTACTTAGAATGTTCGTTACATGTATATTGCAGTACCTGTCTCATTTATAGATTTTTCCGTTTACCTGATCATGACAAGGAGCACACGGCGGGTGTGACCGGCAGACAGGGGATGCTTACTCCTCCATGGCACCTGATCCCACCTCTGAAGTTTTTAGAGGTCCGTGTTTGCTCTGCTCCCGATTGTTTTTGTTTCAATGGACTTTTGAAACTGACTGTTCGTTATCTTCAGATTTCATTTTTGTCTCATTTACAGATTGTGAAAGAGGTTTTAATGCGATGAAGAATATTAAGGGGGCAATGAGAAACAAAATGAGCCACAAAGTGTTGACCCTCTAGAAATGTTCTCTTTTGAGGGATTACTGTAGAAGAAAATTCGAACAAGAATGCGCTTTAGGCCACAGTAAAATTTCAAGTGATGGAGAACCTTCTCTCTCTCTCTCTCTCTCTATGAGCTGTAAATTGGAAGAAACTGTTTACAATCGTATTCTTTAATTCATACTTTATTAAGTAATTCTAAAACAGTGTGTTCCTAGTAAAATTTAAGTACATTGAATTTATATCTAAAGGTTTCAAAGCAATGTTCTGATGAAAACACACGCATACCAGTCAACGGGAAAATGTGATTCTTTTTCTGCAAAAAAACATGACGTTGAAATAAACATTTGTTTAATTAAGTAAACGAAAAAGCTAAAAACGGAATTTGATGGAAAGATCAAATAAGCAGTTGTCATTAAATAAATATAAATTTTCGGTGACATTTGTCTTCATTCCGTACGATTTTTCGACTGGGTAAGCTTTTCTTCCAGAATCCATTCAGAGGAATCAAGGCGCTGCTAAAGCAAATTCAAAACTCGTTAGTTTGCAGGTTAATGAGGTGAAAGATACAAGGGGAGACAATTGAAGATCCCTTTCACTTTAAGGGAATCATTTGTATCGAGCATGTGCGGCTTTAAAGGTATTTACTCTTCATTTGTTGAAAAACACATTTGTTTTCATTTGAGGTTCAAGTAAATGCCTCGGATAAATTATTACCAAGTGGAGTGAAAGTCTACCCAATTTTTCACATATTAGACGAAAGTCCATAATCAGCAATAGATGAGTTAAGTATACACTTCAAAAATTCACATAAAAAGGGGTATATGATTAATTTCAACGCTCTTACTTCTATTTGCATTTCTCTTTGATACGTCTGTTAACTAACATATGTTGCCAGCGTCATGATTGCCGATATCCTATAGAGAAAGTTTTTACAAAGCACATGCATGCATGTACATTTATAATAAATAGCCATTTAGTAGTTTTGTTGTTTGCTTTAACTGGAAATAAGTAAAACATCTGCAATCGTCGAAGGCTTACGTTTATATTGATTGTAATAAATACATATATTCATAATTATTATATTGATTTATTGTAATGTATGCAAAGGAGGCATTTTACACGAGGAAGACTTCACTGAAATTAGACAGTTTTATAAAAATGAAACTAATTTGTAAAATATTAATCTCATGAATGAAATTTTGATGAGTGTTTCATTACAATACTCCCTAACTCGAATATCCTAACATCCCTACTTTATTATGGGGAGGGGGTGTCATTGGAGACATTTTGTTCGGCATTATTAAATATCTATTTTCTGTTATATTATAGCTGCCAATAGATTTACATTACATTTTCACATGTTTTGATTTAGAATTTTCAACATCCTGTTGCAATTACTCGCGAGATTACACAATAAATAGAATATAAGTAAACGATTTTGCTTTCTAGCATTTATTTCAAACGTATTAAATACGCATTTCTTTTTTAAGTTCTTATATATATGTATTGATGGCAGATGCAAAATTGTATAATTACAAATGCCATTTAATAAGCATCATAATGCAGAATTGCAAAGTTATGATTGCACATTTTATGCAATTTATATTGAAAGGCAGGAACAAAATTGTATAGATATAATGTCACATTATATTAATATCTGCTTGTGGCAATATTATATCTATATTAAATATTAATTAAGTGTATACGATATACACATGTTATCACATAGTTTGATGTTGTGTATTGCAATAAGGATAAAGATACAATGTGTTAAAACGTAGAATTCACAATCAAATATTAAATATTTCAAGGTGCCATTGATGTTTCAGAGACTGCCAACAATTGTACATGTAAAATAACATCAGAGAGATATGAGAAAGCCTAAATTAAAGATTTAGTATAAAAATATTTGATGAAAGTCAAATTACTTTCATTAGCAAAACAAAATCATTGAAAGGAAATTTGTATGACAGTGACATTGATATACATTAATACAACAGACCCTGATCCTAATTGAAAACGACGAAGTTTGTAATCAAAGGTATTGGCGAAATTTGCATTCTTAAAACCGAATCTTTTCTCGACGAAACTCTGTTGTAAAAGGTATTGTTAGAATTTCTATTTTATGTACAAGATGTGTTAAACTAAGCTCAGGATAAATACTCATTTCTGAGAGAGATCCCGAGAAAACATTTCTCAGATCAAGAGAATATTACTTTCCAATCCAATTGTCTGAACTAACACATCACAGAAAATCTTTTATTACATTGTAAATAAGGAATCTGGACAAGTTGCATGAGGAGCTTACATTAATGCATGGTCTTTCTGAATTAAAGGATTTCCAGGATAAATTAAGTTTTTGTTACAAAAAGCATTGTCACCAAATGAAACTGGAATGTAGTAACTTCACAAATGCATCCAACAGCAGTATTTTTAGCCTGCATCGCACTCTTTTCATCCATAATGTGCATGTGATTGAAAAAGATAAAAAGTTTCTTAATTTGTAGCTTGATTTGTTATTTGGCTTATTTTTTTTTTAAGAAAAGTATTTGGAGTAATGACAGTAAAATATTTATCCTATGCTTTGATAATGTAAAATCAAGCAGCAAGTTAACTTTAGGAAACAGTGAACCAGGATACTTTTGATAACATTTTGGTGTAACATTTCTTCACGTGTATATTAACAGCATCACATC